GGATATTCATTTATATCCATGCTGTGGACAACATTCAGACATTTATGGTAATCTAAAACAAGAGTGAGGACCCTTCAGTCCTCCAGAGGTTAAACACTGGTGGCTTGTGGGGGTCACCACAGGATTTCCCCAGGAGGTAAGGGGATGAGACACTTTCCCATGCTTTGACAATTAACAGCCCTGAGATTGTGTTCTGTGCTGTCAAGTTGGAATGGCCTTATAAGTGATCCTAACAGGGCTTTCAAGGTAAATGAGACATTTAAAGAGTGCTTTTATCTGTTCCACTCTCCCAATGAGGTTTCCATGGCCAAGGCGTTTTTTGAACCCTGTTCCCCAGAGTCCTAGTCCATCACTCTACCCACTACACCACACTGCTTCTCCCATCATACCTCTCAGAATTGGCCAAGTTGGCTAGAACTTGTAAAGACTGGAACACAACAAAATACGAAGAGGTAGAGTTTCTCCAGCCTTGGTGTAAATTTTTTTTTTTGGGGGGGGAGGATAGCTGGGGAGGAATGAGGTTGATGGAGTTTGCATTGAGGGGGAAAAAGAGGACTGAACACAGTCTCTGTGGCTGGCACCTTCAGAGGACAGGAGCTAGAATTCTGTCTGTGTTCTGGTCTAGTGTGTGAGATTGTAGAATATTTGTAGCTGTTGGATAAGGGTTTTCTGTTCTTTCCAGGAAATTGGGTGTTTCCTGTGATCAGGGTATTTTTTGTTATGGGTGTTTTGTTGTGAGAAGGGGGAAGATGATCTATCACTACGATTGATGGCTGTAGTTGGCTGGACTCTTGTGTGCCTGGTAGAGTTCCTTGATCTTTTTGCAGGCTGTATTTTTCAGTGCTGGGAGCCAGGCTTTGTTGATTTTTAGACTTTCTTTTTTTGTTGAAGCTCTGTTGGTGTTTGTGGATTTCAGTGGCTTCCCTGTGTAGTCTAACATGATGATTGCTGGTGTTGTCCAGTATTTCTGTGTTTTGAAATAGGATTTCATGTCTAGCTTGTTTCACAGAGTGTTCAGCTGCTGCCGATTTTTCTGGTTGTTTTAGTCTGCAGGGATCTCCTACCAACTCTCCTCAGACTGAAAAAGCCATTTGGATGGGTAGTGAAACATTTCAATTTAATACAAAAGAAGTCCAGTTGCCATGACTCAACTTCCAGATAGCCTCACCTGGATGACTGAGACTCTTCATAGATTTAAAAGGAGAAGGATTTGTGACTGGAGGATAATTGCAGGGACACATGCAATGAAACAAAGCATGTTGCTGGGGAGAAGACAATGTAAGGACAAGAGCAGGAAAAGAAGCATTTCTCTGAGCATATTCAAAGTCTCTGGAGATCCATAGCCCCGCCCATTTTTGAAATAGTCCCCTTCTGCCTTCTAGTGGTCAATTAATTTTTTGTGAGATATGCTGGGAGCCCAAGAGGTGTTTAGAGCCCCTCAAATCATAGCAAAAATGTTCCACAAAGAGACTTCTTGAGCTTCATTTTTTTTTAAAAAAATTAAAAACTGGCTATGTGGCATAATGGGGCCCCTAGGAAGGCTGAGGGCTAGCTTTGGGCTCCTGGGGGGGGGGCTGCATAGAGCCTATGTACTGCATGCTGCCCTCTCTCATCTTAGCCAACTGTGACACATGGTGGCTACTTACACATCACCCAAAGAGAGGATGAAACAGGCCACCAATCAAAAGAGCAAGTGCTTATATATGATTTTTTTTACTTTTCAAAGTGTATTGTAATAACTCTCATATGAATGGAGATGACCAAACGATCTGTGCACTAGTTTCTTCATTTGCTGTCTCGGTACGGCTCACGATGGACGGGCAATTTCGTGACCTGATCTTTCTCTTGTGGGTTCTTCTTTTTAAACCACATATGGATTTGGCAGCCAATCAAATTAAGGAGAACTGTAGAACGAGGACTGACCTCTGGAAATACAGTACTGTAGTATCATCTGGAAAAGATAACCCTAATTATTGACATGGCAATTGACTTCCATGGAGGCAGCGATGTTTGTCTCTTGCAAAAAAAAAGTATGCTTTTGGAAAGCAATCTTACTGCCTTTGCAAATGTTATAAGTAATCATTGAATGAAATGGCTCCATTTACCAGGAAACATCTGCTTTGTGCTTTTCCCCACTTGTGTTCCACAGGACTCCATTGACACAAGACTCTGTCAGTATACCAAATGTTTTCAGCATTTTGCAAACATCATCAGACAGTCCAACGTACCACAAAGCAGGTTTGGATATTGCCAGAAATACCTCTACCAGCTAGAAAATACCATCAAGAAAATGAAGGTAAGAATGCTCTTCATTCATGGTTCACTTACGCAGTCACAATACAGCAGTTCTTAGCTAATGGTTGTTCTGCAATAACAACCCCCAAGGTGTTTCTAGCAAACAGCAACAAAAACGATCATGGGTTATCCATACTTCTTGGTGAAGCTGTGAATGCTATCTACCCAACAGAACAACTCTTTTAACTGTATTACTACTACTACTACTACTACTACTACTACTACTACTACTAAGAATAAGAATAAGAATAAGAATAAGAATAGATTTAAACCTCCCATCCTGTTTCCTGGTGAATTTGAGAGTTGTAGCTTTCTCCAGCATGAATATATTGGGATGGGCAAAGCATCTATTTTCCCTGTCATGTGGAATTCCAAAATTCTGGACTACATTTTCCAGAATTCAGTGGTCACGCTGTCGGAGGATTCTGGGAGTGATGATCTAGATCTAGAAAGATGACTTTCCCAGATCTGATAGCAGTTAATGATGCCAGAACTCTGAGACAAACATAGTGGCTATCCTATTTAAGATGGATGCAGACACAAATCATTAAAGTGATCCTACAGAAGTGTAACCACATTCATGCCATTGGGGTCCGGTATAGGATATTTCCTGTGGGATCAGGTTCAGGAGGAGAAACTGTTTCTGTTCATTCCCACTAGACATTGATTGTGTGCTTAGCTACTCCACTTTCTGAGCAGTTTCAAAGTATTATGTTTGAAATGTATCTTAAAAAGGAGTTGCCAAATATTTAAGCAGACAAATTTTCATGGTGCTCAGTTATTGCTTTTTAAAGGTGGCTCATAGAACTTGCTTGAGAGGCAGTGTGGTGTAGCAGCTAGAGTTTCAGACTTGGACTTAAGAGACTTGGATTCAAATCCCTGCTTGGCTGTGGAAACTCACTGGAGGGGTGGGAGTTATAAACCTTTCTTTGAACATCTCACTTCAATTGAGAAGTAAACTGGCAGGATAATTATGTGAACAAATACTAAATATAGCTGCTTTTATCTTGGCATAAATATATATTCAAAGTTGAAAATTCCATGACTTTGGCATAAAAATCTTCAGCAGACTCCTTACTCATCCTCACCCAGCCACTGCAAGGGGATGTTTGTTTTTCTAAACGATGTATGAAGTTAGGACATCCCTAACCAAGCTGTTCAATGTGAGATGATAGAAAGAAGCGAAGTGGGCGGACACATGCATCTGCATTTATTCCCATCTGAGTTATTGCTATTTTATTCTGGATGATAGAAAATGGGGTGGCATGCATTTCCTATCATTTGGAACAAAATAAGAATATAACTCAGATGGAAATAAATGCAAATACTGTACATTTGTCCTCCCACTTTGCTTCCTTCTATCACCACACATTGAACATTCTGTTCAGGTTTGGCCATTCAGTCCTTCGACAATTGTATTCAGTCATTTAGTTGCATGCAGACGGATGTTGGATCCTTCATGCTTGTGTTCTTTTCTCTAGCGGCAGCCCTCGGCCTTGTGTGCTGCTCAGTGTACAATCTCGTGGTCTGCCAATGATTCAGAATGGGAAGAGATCACCAAAGGACCCCGCTTAGTCGAGGAGTTGCTGGCATACCTGGACCAGCTTGGATTATCTTGCAATTGAGGACTCTTAAGGATCTGTCGAAGATGTGCATTCTTTTCACTGCAGAAGTGCTGTGGTTCCGGAGTGTGTGTGTGCAGGCGCAAGTGTACAAAATGGCTACCTTCTGTACGCATGATATATCTTTGCTCCAAAAATAGAATGTGTGTGTGTTGTAGTAACACTGCATGGGCAGTTTCTATGTATATATCTAGGAGGCATTATGGGCACATGTACATGAAAGAGGATGGTTCATGTGCAGAATCCTAATCAAATGTGTCTAAAAGCAGTCCCATTGAGTTCAGGGCGGCTTACCTGTAAGCAAATGGACAGAGTACTGTAGCCTATGAGGACATATCTATGTGAGAGATGCAAAAGATTTGGGCACGTATTCTCAGGGTATGTATGTATATGTGCACATAGAGGGGCAGGATCCAGAATAAAGCCAATGATTTAGTACAATGCACACATACTAAGTGCACAACAAACATGGAGCTCAGCACACAAGAAGATGAGAACCACTTGACTTCTATTATTTGGTCATTCTATTTATGTATGAATAATAATAATAATAATAATAATAATAATAATAATAATAATAATGTATCTATGGTTTCTATATGTTTATTCATTTATTGTGCTCTTCAGCAGCTCTGCATTTCAATGGTGGAGCATTAAACCTGTTTGAATAAAAACAAACTCTTTTCTATATCTCTGACAGTGGTGTTTTTAAAAAATGTCTAAAAAGTCTACATTTTAAAATTATTTTATAATAATGTTATGATTTTATACTGTACATTATATTATACAATTATTTATAACATGTCTATATTTCTGCTTGAAGTGTATTTCCAAAGATTCTGAAATGTCCCAGGACTGATCTCTATACTCTTGTTGACTTTAAGAATGTCTTCTCTGGTTGCAATCTAACAATCCCAGGTGATACACCCTGGTAACTTCATCATACACTTCCACCATATGATGAAAAGGGCACAGGAGTGCCCATTTAGTTAAGGCAGTCACTCTCTTTCTTCCTCTCAGGCACATACTTTCCACCATTATAAGTTTCAAAATTCTATTGCAAATAAGAAAGATACCCACTACGCTAAAAACATGAGACCTTGTATTAAGGGTTTACTTGATGAGATCTATATTTGTACAAACATGCAAATGGAGAAAGCGCTGGCCTTTTTGGTCCAGACAACCTCCCTCCCAAACACTATTTGTGGAACGAGGCTTACAATTCTGATTTTCAAAATAACACGAGCACAACTTGCAATGTTCTCCTTGGCCATACCCATCGTGACTGGTAGCTTGTTGGCCTTCCTGCCCAGCTCACCCACTATCTGTGGCACCAGGTCTACATGATTAAAAAATAATAATGGGGCCACTCTATTTGTCAAAACTTTCTTTTACCCCACATTTCTTCCATTCCACAGAAGGCAATAATAGTTCACGAAGCCAATATACTCGTATTTTTATTTGTTATGAAAGCAGAAGGGAATGAAAGAGGCTGGATGAATGGTTTTAATTGTAGCATGGGAAAATAAAGCGAAGGCCTTGGCAAATGGGACCCTAATGTTTCATTTTAAACTATGTCAGGCATGTTATAAAGTAGAACAGGCAGATTTCTTCTAGCTTACAGATGCAAAGGAAAAAAAAAGATATCCTAGGAAAATGGCACAGGAAAGGAAACCGCACTTGCCCTTCATTTACTTTTGCTTGTGAGTTGTTGGTTTCCCTCCCTCCCAACAAGAATGCCAGGATATTGCAGACTGAGGTCAGAAGTTAACATACAGTTCTAGCAGCATGCCATGTTTCCTAAATAGAATGAGAATTCCACTATCTCTCTCCTCACAATCTGAAATATGTCCATTTCCTCTGGATGAGGCCAGCCTACTGACAAGCAGAGCATACCATTTCAGGTTCACACCATCAAGGGGAGCCACAACATGGTATGGGATATTTTTGTCCCAATACGTTACAAAGGCTGGGACCGAAAGAAAAACCATCGATGCAGGTGGCAAAAGCCAACAGATTTGTTGGGTCTCCCCTTTTTGGTTGTTATATTGGCTGCCTGTTTGTTTATAAACCCCTTTCCAAGCCCTTTGTACGCCACCTTGAGTCCTTTCATGTGGACAAAGGCAAGACATAAAAGAAAATGGATGAATGACTGGCAAGTGGCTACACTGCAGCTCCTGTTCTGTGTGAATTTTGCAACAAAACATGACTCTGAGGGATTAAAGTGTCCCATCCTGGGTGCCTGAGGGTTTATAAAGGACAGAGAGGAAACCATGAGGATTTAAACAAGAAACAATGGGATGGCATGAGCTAAACAAGGGATGGAAAAAGCAGGTTCCATGCTCTCATCCCAGCACAAATCTTCATGCTTATAGAGTGCAGGTGTGGCCTAGGGCAACTGTAGGGGCATTGTCCTCACCTTACTAATGGGAGGTGACAGGAGTAAGGAGAAATTTATTGTGACTGTGGATCACTAATGCGTCCCAGGAAGAGGGGAGCTGTTTTGTCCTTCCACAATGAAAACAAGAAGGGCTGCTGCACTTCGAAGAAATTGGCCGAGCGGGCCAAGGAGACCTGAGTGGCAGCAGCGGCCTCCACGCCTTCCTCACTGATCTGTATCACAGCCCTGTGCTGGGCTCCAGACACGGCCACCTCTTCCTCCCGAGAGATCCCACACAGATTGGCATCAAAGAAAAAGCCATAGTCTGAAAGACAAGATGGGATTGAAGGCATAAATGTCAGGCTGGTTGCAAGTCTCTTCTCTGGGTAAATAACAAGGCAGATGCTAGTGCTAAATCAGTGCTCAGAAGTAGCCAGTGGTTTGAGAAGGGAAAACACAAGCTCTCCACAGAGGCTACTAGCTACCAGAGCAAGAGCTACATGGCCACATATTTTCACAGAAGCCTGCAAATGTGACTAGGCTCCTTCTAGATCAGCATTTCCTAAGTGTCACTAGAAGCCTGCAAATGTGACTAGGCTCCTTCAGCATTTCCTAAGTGTCACCGAGGCATTGTTTTTCCACAAAAGGAAGTAGATTTAAGCTTGAGGGTTCATCAAAACATTCAAAATGGTGCTGTATTAACCAGCAATTCCTTTCCCTGTAGCAAGGATCTTTAGTCTTTCTTTACAAGTACATTTCTTTCAGCAACATTAATTAAAAGCATCTTCTTTGTCTTTTATCATTTCCTGTTTAGTACAGCTATGGGATTAGCAGAGATTTGTCCCTCAGAAATAGTCATCTTTTGCTTCCTTCTGTGAGATGTTATGTATCTATCCCAGTTCTCTCTCTCTCTCTCTCTTAATGTCAGTGCTGCCCAAATACACAAACAACAGTCCAAGGGGAAGAGACGTTAACAAACCTTCAGCCTCTCTCTCTCTCTCTCTCTCTTAATGTCGGTGCTGCCCAAATACACAAACAACAGTCCGAGGGGAAGAGACATTAACAAACCTTCAAATAGATATAGAAGCCAATGAAAGCCTCAATGGCATTTGGTAGCGCCACACGGCATCACGGTGAATGAATTATGCTTACAGCAGGGGTGGGCATGGGTTTGCTCTCCCCGTTCTGTCATGTAAATTCCCCTTTGTGGGGAAAAGGAGCAAGTGCTTCCCCTCTTCTCTGACCATCAGACACCATCAGAGATTGATTTTTCTTACCCATTGCCCCAATGATTTCCATGAGGTCCTGGGAGGAATCCACCTTGAACTTCGGGAGAGATACTATAGTGGGTTTGAAAGGGATGGTCTCCAGTTTGGCCATCATGGACTGGAAGACAGGGCCACTGAGCTTATCCTCTACCTCAGAGAGATTCTGCGACAAGGCCCGAGGCACGATGATCACCAGACTCATGCCATGAGACATTTGGAACCGGCCAACCTGGCAAAAGAAAACAGTCTCTAAGTCTATGGTCCACTTTCTCAGCTGCACATTCCTTTCCCTCTTTGGAAGGCCAACGCAACTCTTTTTCAGCATTTAGTGACTTCCTTAACACACTACAGTACTGCAGTTCCCATCACTCATCCCTCTTTCCTGTGGCAGGAGGTCTGTATGGTGACACAACAGGGAACACTTCCATGGAGCTTAGAAACATTGTTCTGGCCTACTTGTCTGAGCATCTCTCTAGGCAGTGTGGCTTGCATGGTTAACAAATGTGGCCCACTTCGGAAATAAAAGCCTGTGCTGTGTAAGATGACCCACATTGGTGGCATAACATAGTCACAATGGTGGGAACACTTAAAAAGGAATTTCTTAAGAGGTTAGCATCAGAGGGGCCAAAGTGTCCATTATAGACACCCCATCTTTAGAAGAGGGAATTTCTTAAATGGTAATTCTGAGTGATTGTCACAACAGGAACTTTTCTCACCATCCACAGTTCACAAACTAGTCTCTATTGATTTGTATTTAGTCTTCCAACAATTTTTCAGTTTCTGCATGAATCTTATCCCTGAAAAACTACTGGGATTTCAAGTCTAAAAGATGATGCTGATGCTGCTGCTGCTGCTGCTGCTGCTGCTGCTGCTGCTGCTGCTGCTGCTGCTGCTGCTGCTGATGATGATGATGATGATGATGATGATGATGATGATGATGATCTTAGAACTGCAGAGCTGGAAGGGACCCTATGGATCACTTAGTCCAGTCCCTGTCAAGGAGTCACAGTAGGGAATCGAACTCCTAACTATGGGAATTAATTTAAAAAATGCCAATTTGTTGTGATTCATGGTTCATCAAGGTTAACAAATCAAGGAATACAAATTCACAAATATTCATTTACGAATCGATAAATTGATTTGTCAAGTCATTTTCACTTTAAAATGCTATAAAATGGGCCTCCAAGAAGCTAGAGACACCAACTTTGCAGGAAAACTACCCAAGATGGATTTCTACAAGTCCAGCAGGTTTGGTGAATATTGGGTAATGGACCCCTAAATTATATAGTCACAAGGAGGACACCCCCAGGAAAGTTCCCCATAGGTATTTAGAGAATCCTAAATCACACTGAAGCTTCCTATGTCTTTCTCCAACATGCCTGCCAAGTTTGGTGAAGATTGGATATTGGACATCTGAGTTATTCACCCACAAACTGGGTCCCCCCAGGATAGTTTACTATGTGGCACAGAAGCAGATGGCATTGAGGGAGTTTGATTTGTCTCTGGCAGGCTCACAGAGGCATGAGGCACTGAGGTAGAGTTGTTTTCAGCAGCATCACATTTGGCAGTGACGTAGAGTTTGCCCCCAGGAGGCAATGAGGTATTTGTCACTGAGGAAGAGTTTGGCCCCATCAGGCCCTGAGGCAAATGGTAGCAAAGCAGACTCTATGGCCCCATCGGGCACTAGGGTATTTGTCCCACACAGTCACACACCAAATTCTCCCTCACCCACTGTGCCTGAAGAGACACAAATTAATATAAGCCTCCAAAAGTAACTAAGTTTTTTTAACTTAAAGCCCTGTCAACTAAGTCTCAGACACACGCACACACAACCACAGGAATTAAATGTTGTTGGGAAAGGGATTCCACAGTCACACATAAAATTCCCCCCACCCACTGTGAACACAAGCCTCCAAAAAAGAAGTAGCCTAAGCAAACTGAAGTCCGCTAAAGAAATCCCTCCCCAAATTCCCCGTGAAGTTCTACTAATGAAATAAATGAAATAAAATCTACAACAAAGTGTCTGCTTTGCTGCCACAGAAGTGAAAAAAGCACAGTCACAGCTAGCAAGCAAGTACCACACAAGCACCAGCCAACAGCAACGGTTCTTACTCTGGAGAGAATCAGAACAGGGAAATGGCTGTAGGGGAAACACTTATAAAGCCTCTGTAAAATTTACACCCCCACAGCCCTTTCAGCAGTGCTAGTGGCTGCCTAACATGCCAATCCATGATCTCCTGACGGACCAGAGCTTCTGATTGGCACCAGCAAGCTCAGAGATGGCATAGAGAGGCCCCCAAAAGGGTAACAAATATAGATGAATATTGATGAACCGAGGAATAAAACTGGGAAAATATTTGTCAAGTTGTATTCATCAGGATTTAAAATTTGATGAACGTGGATTGATGAATATATGATGAATTGGCTATACAATTCATTGAATACAGCAATTCATTTTTATATTCGTCCCCATTTCTACTCCTAACCTCTAAACTGACAGCGATTCATTTTTATATTCATCCCCATTTCTACTCCTAACATCTAAACTCTGCAGCCTGATGCCTAAACTACAGAGCTACCAGTCCATGAGTTATGTAATTTACTGTTTGGCTCATCACACTACTAATTTAACCCAACGTGAAATCAGTTAAATTTTTACAGTTTCTATTTAAATACCCTGGAAAGTGCAATTTTGCAAGGGTACCATAGTGTTAATTGATTTCAATGCTTTTAATATGCAACCACATTGCCCAAAGATAAATGGGAACCCTATCATTAAATTAGGTAGAGACAAATTAGACATGTGCACAGTGTTCTTATATAGACAGTGGTGCCTTGACTTATGAATTTAATCCGTATTGGAACGGTGGCCATAAGTTAAAACATTCGTAAGTCAAAGCACCATTTCCCATAAGAATGCATTGAAAACTGATTAATCCATTCTGGCCAAAGAAAAAAACAGCAAGGAAAAAAACACACTGCAGGTCCCACACTGGGACTGAAAAAAAAAATCCAAAAATAAACATTGGAGCAAGTCCCATGCTGGGACTGGAAAAAACACCCCCCCCCCAAAAAACAGCCCAAACCTACCCTCCAAAACCCACCCAGAACAACTTTTTTAAAAGGAAAAAGTAACACCTTACCAGTCCGAAGCCTCTACGGAGGCTTCCCAGGCTGCCAAAGCACCAGCACCCAATTCCGAAGCCTCTACGGAGGCTTCCCAGGCTACCAAAGCACCGGCACCCAACGCTTCTCCTTCCTCCTCCTGCGCCGCCACGGAGCTCCTCCGACCCGTGCCTTCAGCGGTGCTTACTCATGAGTAGATCGACACCTCTGGCAGCTCTTACTCATGAGTAAACCCACACCTTCGGGAATGCTTACTCGTGAGTAGATCAACTCTGCCCCACCTCTCCTTCCTCCTCCTGTGCCCCAGGAGTAAAAAAGTTCCCTAACCGCCTGCTCTAACCATTGGGGCAAAAGAGCTACAAAGAAGCAGCCTCTCTGCCACTAACGGTTTGAATTTCCCACCTTATCCCCCTGCCTTTTTCTCTTCATAAGTCAAAGCTCCGGCCGCAAGTCAAAGCAAAATTTTGCAGCCGGAGCTGTTCGTAAGTCAAATTGCTTGTAAATCAGGGCGTCCATAAGTCAAGGCACCACTGTTGTTGTTGCAAGTCATTTCTACTTATTTTCCAGTGTTGCTTCTTTGAATGCATGGTGTAACAGTAAGAGATTGAAAAGGGTACCTTCTCTGCCCTTTGGGTATTACCTTTGCCCCCAGGTAGTGGTCCATGTAGGAAGCCACAGGGTATTTCTTGCTCATCATCATGGGCACTTTGATGCGAGGGAGGTTTGCACGGTAAAAATATTCCCGTTTTGTATTTTCCAATTTAAATACATTCTTCCATTTTGCTAAAAAAAAGAAAAAGAGAAAAACATGAATTAGAGAGAACTTATTTATTTGAATATGCCAATCATAAAAGAACAAAAGGGTCATGTTGAATGACACCAGGGCTCAGGAGGTTTCAACATTCCATTTGCATAATGGTCAATCTGATGTATTCAGTAACCTCCAAAACAGGCTACAAAGTCAATAGTCCTAATGGGCATCAACACCATTGAATTCCATGAATTGTTTCTACACACTATGAAGAAGCACCTTTCTCTACCATAAATTTACTGTCAACCTGGCTTTGGATATACCTGTTTCAATTTGTCCAATTTATTACAAAGTAGAACCTTCCAGATTGGGTCAACTGCAATTGCCATAATCCTCACCCACCAAGGCCAATATATCTGAAAATTCAAGACATCTGAATCACACCAGGTTGGGGAAATCTGCTTAAGACACTTCTAACATCATCCTAATCCCTGTTCCACTCAAATAGCAGTTGCTTTCAAAAGAAAGTAATATTGCATTTTCTGAGATAGCGTTCTAGACTGGGAATCTGGAGACATGGGTTCAAATCCCTGCTTACTCATAGAAACTCACTAGAGACATGTGGCAATGGTAAACCATTGGTTGTTGTTGTTTAGTCATTACATTGTGTCCAACTCTTCATGACCCTATGGACCAGAGCATGGCAGGCCCTCCTGTCTTCCACTGCCTCCCGGAGGTGGGTCAAATTCATGTTGGTCGCTTCGATGACACTGTCGTCCCTTTCTCCTCTTGCCTTCACACTTTCCCAACAGCAGGGTCTTTTCCAGGGAATCTTCTCATGAGATGGCCAAAGTACTGGAGCCCCAGCTTCAGGATCTGTCCTTCCAGTGAGCACTCAGGGTTGATTTCCTTTAGAATGGATAGGTTTGTTCTCCTTGTAGTCCAGGGGACTCTCCAGAGTCTCCTCCAGAACCACAATTCAAAAGCATCAATTCTTCAGCGGTCAGCCTTCTTTATGGTCCAGCTCTCATTTCCATACATCGCTACTGGAAAAACCATAGCTTTGACTATGCGGACCTTTGGCGGCAAGGTGATGTCTCTGCTTTTTAAGATGCTGTCTAGGTTTGTCATCGCTTTCCTCCCAAGAAGCAGGGATCTTTTAATTTTGTGGCTGCTGTCTCCCTCTACAGTGATCATGGAGCCCAAGAAAGTAAAATCTGTCACTGCCTCCATATCTTCCCCTTCTATTTCCCAGGAGGTGATGGCTTTGATCTTAGTTTTTTTTTTAATGTTGAGCTTGAGACCATTTTTTGGTGCTCTCCTCTTTCACCCTCATTAAGAGGTTCTTTAATTCCTCCTCACTTTCTGCCATCAGAGTGATATCATATGCATATCTGGGATTGTTAATATTTCTTCCAGCAATCTTAATTCCGGTTTGGGATTCCTCCAGTCCAGCCTTTCGCATGATGTATTCTGCATATAAATTAAATAAGCCGGGGGACAATATACAGCTTTGTCATACTCCTTTCCCAGTTGTTCCATATCCAGTTCTAACTATTGCTTCCTGTCCCACATATAGGTTTCTCAGGAGATAGATAAGGCGGTCAGGCACTCCCATTTCTTTAAGGACTTGCCATAGTATGCTGTGGTCCACACAGTCAAAGGCTTTTGTGTAGTCAATGAAGCAGAAGTAGATTTTTTTTCTGGAACTCTCTGGCTTTCTCCATAATCCAGCGCATGTTAGCAATTTGGTCTCTAGTTCCTCTGCCCCTTCGGAATCCAGCTTGTACTTCTGGAAGTTGTCATATATTATGTTATATATACTATACATTATATGTAATGTAAAACATTACATATGCCAAAAACCCTATGAGGCATGCACTAAGCTGGAAGTGACTTGATGGCACATAACAACCACCATCGTTCATTTGAGGAGGTGCACTGCATGTCCATCTAAGTTCATGCTCTATCTATTACTCTTAAAGATGCTGTATTTTTAGGAGTCAGTCTGGTATAATGGATAGAATGTCAAACTAGGAGACAGGAAATCTGGCTTCAAATCCCTGCCTGACCAATGAGGATTGTACTGTACATAAATGCACTTCAGGAATGTCAAGGGCCTCCCAAATGCCTAGATTCCCTGCAGACATCTAGATATTGTGTGGATGTATGCACTGTGCAACTGGCTGTAAATGAAGGCAGGCATTTGAATAGTGTTAGCAAGGCAGCCGTGCTTTGGTTGTTGTTATCTTAAACTACCAGTGGCAAGTGGAAATTATCACAAGGAGTCCTTACTCTTCAACTCCCAATATTAAAAAATGGCTCACACTTTTGGGAAGCATCCTTAAACTTTTTATAGTCTTGTGAACAGGGTTTGGTTGTCTACATTTCCATGGCAGGTTCCTATTCTTCCATAAACAAATGTGAACTATAGAAGAGGGATGCAGGCCCAGAAATGGGGAACATTACGTTTTTGGATTACAGCTTCGAGAATACCATAGTTAGTGGCATGCTGGCAGAAGGATTTGGGGTCCTGTAGCCCAAAGAAGTAACTTTCCCCACCTCTTGTCACAGTACGATGTAATTATGAACGCCAGGTCTTAAAGGTGCGGTCGAGGCTGCTGCTTGAAGCACTCACTTGTGAGGGAGTTTGGGAGCATATTGATGAGCCAAAGGTCACGGTTGGATTGAACAAGATGCCACTATCCTTTATTATTATTATTATTTTTAAAAAAGCAAAGTGCTTCTGTTCTAATGGATTTAGAAAGTCCTGAAGAGCATTCCTATAGCACAAAACGTGTGTCATACTGGGGGAAGGATGCATAGCTGCCATGGTGAAGGCAAGAAGACAATTTGGAATCTATTTGGGAGCAAGTGTTTCAGGACGTGAGTGTCCAAAGGGGAAAGGGAATCATAGTTCTGATAATAAGTGAGTCACCTCTCTGGGCTCTCTGGGTCACATGACAGGAATCTTATTGGAATTTCCTACTTACAGTGGAAATAGACAGCGTTGAGAAGCACCATCTGGGCATCTGAATCCAGGTCATCTAGCAGTTTCTTGATCTTTCCACCAGTATGTCTGTTCACCCATGCGTTGATATCAAACACAGCCTGATTACTGTTGTTTGTAAGGGGCAATAGTTCTGTCTGATAGTATGCCTTTGATAAGTTGCGGAAATCACTCTCCAGCTTCAATGCTGAGTGGCCGAGAAGAAGAAAAGAAGGACAGAAGTTAATACAACCTCTGAAGTCATATATTCCTAATTTTTAGTGATTACTTTGAAGTATCTTCCAATTAAACAAAGTCAGTTGTAGTGGTGACTGCTTCTACTGTAGGACCCATAAGTGCCATGTTTACCAACTTTTTACAGTTTAAACGTCAATATGCTTAATTTGTTATAAAGAGTACAGTCTTGGGGAACTGTCATAAAATGAAAATGTGGGGAAATGACTCAAATTACCGTAATCAGGGATAACCTATGTAAGAGTGTTCACTGAGATACACAATCTTTAATGTGACAAACTTCGCTGCTAATATAACACTGCCATCTGATGGATAATTTGTATAAATACATAGTTAACCTATGCTTAATTTGTTATAAAGAGTACAGTCTTGGGGAACTGTCATAAAATGAAAATGTGGGGAAATGACTCAAATTACCGTAATCAGGGATAACCTATGTAAGAGTGTTCACTGAGATACACAATCTTTAATGTGACAAACTTCGCTGCTAATATAACACTGCCACCTGATGGATAATTTGTATAAACACATAGTTAACTACTTGAAAGCAAAGGATGATGTAAGCATGTTTATATCACTGCTTTTAAGCTGTTTTAGATGCTAGCAAGCAATGAAAATAAACAGCCATCACTTAAAAGTGATATTCGTAACTTACAAGCAAGTATAGCCACTGTTTTATAGCAAATCAGGTAAACAAAAACTTAAAATATAAATAGCAGTGAATTCTCACATCCTTAAACTGCAAGAGACATATCATCCAAGGAGAAACTATACTCTGACTAATTTGAGTGAGAATATCATGAAATGATTTTTTTATGTATAAATGTGCTTAGATGCTCAGAAATGCTTTTCGTTTTATATTTTCCTATTATGAGAACTCTGATATTTCATTATGCATTTTAAAGAAAGTTTTTATATCTTTTAAAGTTTATGTTTTAGTGTTTCTGTGAGATGTTATAGAGATGTATACTTTGCCCTTTTAGGGTTATAAGCACCTGTATTTTAAAATGTATGCTCCTATATTTTTGAAACAAATATAACATGACTTAAGTATTTGCCTAAAGCTTAACTTTAGTTTATATTTTATGTTATTTGCCTACAGTTTTACATAACTGTAAGAAGTTTGGATTTTAAGTATTTGTAACTACAGTTTTTCCCCACACCTGTGTGATTGTCTTCAATATATTTTGAACTTGCTATTTTGAAACCTAGAAGCTGTGTTTAAACAAAAGATTTGTAGAACTGACAAGCTTTGGAGTTGCCTGAAATTATTGCAACAAAGAAAATACATATACTTAGATGCTCCAATGAATTTTGAAATTCATGCTAATTATTGCCTGATTTCATTCTAGGGTTAGCCCTTTACTGGGATGTCTTTGCCTAGGACAGTGGTTATCTTGGGTAACTCAATTGTTCTTGGATGCAACTCCCAGAAGCCTTCACCGCTAGCTGTGTCGCTGGAGTTTCTGGGAACTGCAGTCCAAGAACACCTGGTTACCCAACATTGGGAACCACTGACATAGGAGGTCTATAAACCTCTGTAGGACTTTTGGAGATATTAAGCACCATGTAGGGGTTTGAAACAAAGAAATAAACTAAAAGGTAATAACTACAGCTGACATTTTGTCTAGCAGCAATTACATTAAATTGAACATCTAAATAAGCATCTCATCTTACTTTTAAGGAGCTCAATAGTATAATATGGAGTAAATAGATGATGTGTAAAATATCTCAACTTCAATTTATAGGTTTAAGACACAGTAAATTATAATCTGTAATTCCATATGCTTTCTTCTAAGAGAAATGGATGTAGGGATATCTTGAGCCTAGCCACTTACTCACCTGGCTGATAAAAAATCGCATTGGCTGATGTCAAGGCCTCTGATTTACTGAAGGCTTTTAGAGCTTTATGGACACATGTGAATTCTTTAGGATAGGAGAGCAGCTTCTCAAGGCGGTCTTTGGTTTCATCGCAGGTTCCTAGATATGGGGGAAAACATAGATCTCATCATGCGGACCCAACATTTAAACGAGGGATCAGTAACCTCTGTTTCAAGAGCCTCCACATTTTGTATGAACGGCCCACATGAAAACTATTCCTCAGGCAACCCCTAATGGGATCCATAGACTTAATCTGAGGCTTACTTCAGAAGCTACTTTTTTAAAGTGGTTCCGTAAAACCTAGAAAAGGGGGGTGGTTGCCTTGAAACTATGTTTGTGTAGTGAGTGTATGAGTTAACTTCTTTAAATTAATTGTTAACCGCCTAGAGTCATGCCTAGCACTAAATCAGGTGGTATATAAATATTTAAAATAAATAAATAAATATCCAGTGACCATGTTGTAAGCTGCAGAATTCTGGAAATATAAATCCCAAAATATAACTTTTTCTAACTCTGAGGTTTTAACAACTGACCTTCCAGTTTTGCTGCAGGATGCTTACATTTTTTTTGCTTCTTATACAATTCTCTTTTCCTAAGTGTTTGAAAGTAGTTTTTATAAACAGTTCATAAAAGCTGATATATGATCAATTTAAAAAATAATATTATGACTTATGTTTATTTTTTATTTTATGTCTGTCTGTCTGTCTGTCTGTCTGTCTGTCTGTCTGTCTGTCTGTCTGTCTATCTATCTATCTATCTATCTAGGCCATCCAGTAGTGAGTGACTGCTCTGTGCAGTTTGCAGAAGTCCAACATATACCCACAACATCCATTAAAAAAAATACATAGGAATAACAACAACTAACCAGCCATAAGTAAAGTATAATATAACACAACAACAACCACACCCCCAATGGTGACAGCTAGATCAATTAAATGTTGCTTGTGAACCACCTTGAGTCTTCATATGGGGAGAAAGGTGGAAGTAAGCCACAGGGCAATACCTTCCAAGTCTAAAAAAGCAAAGCCTACTTCCTTAGAGCAAATTTCCTAGGCTCTATATAGCCTCTTATCTTCAATCACTGATCGGAGATAACAGTAAAGGAAGTGGTGGACAAATGATTTCCCATTCGTGCTCTTGAGAAAGTCACATTAATGCCTCTAAGAACTGCAAAATTCACTCATATCGTCAAATTAGATCCTAAAAGTACAAAAGGATGAAAAGAAAAGAGGTTTAAATGGAATTACAGTCTAGCTGCTAACTGCCAGAGTAAAATGTCTTGCAAAACTGAATCTAGACCAGAGATGAAAAGGTAAGTAGAACAATCTTAACAAGTTCCATTAATTGTTGCTAAGCCCAACAATCTAAACTATTCGTGTTAATATTGGCTAGCGAAAAATTTAACACATGAAGTTAGTGCTTTGTTAATAATTGGCATTAGCATTAAAAATAATGGGACTGAGAGAAAATAGCTTAGAATATTTTGGGTGAGGCTGTTCCCCACAAGTGGCACATGTTTCAGTTCCTTCCCATGTGCCATTTGGCAGGTTTATTGTGCCTTACCCAACCTGGCACTTTCCAGATGCATACGAATACAAATTCTACAACCTGAGTGTTAACTGGGGATGACAGGTTTTGTAGTCAAACATATTTGAAAAAATGAGAAGGTTTGTCCTTAAAAGCTGAGTATCTAATTAACGTGTTCAATTCAGTTTTGACACTGATCTGCCACATCCTTTTTCCTCCTTCCATTCCCATCCACCCATGTCCTGGCAACACATATCCTGTTCCTTCATTTTTTAAATACTATTGATTGTTTAAGAGAGGATGGCATGACACTTTACAAGGTCCTGACAAAATGTCTAAATATTGCCTTTAAAAATAACTTTAAAAATAACTGGAATACACTTTTCATTATGCTGAAACAGCTAATGAAGTTACCACTCAGTGGGTTACTTTTGAAATGTAACTATGTTAATACAACAATACAAAATGCTTACTAACAGTCTAAAACACAGTGCACCTCCATACCCATGGGACCCTTTGGAGCAATTCTTTTATTATGAACCTCCTTTCCAAAATTGTACTGATTGTTGTTTAGAGGCTTTCCCCTTTCCTTTCCCTAACACAAATTCAATAAATCTACCCCAAATAGCATAAAAATATTTAAATTTATTTCCCCTCTTTTAATCTTAAATTCAGTAGTCAATTTGTCATTTAACGCAATGTCTCATATTTTGTTATGCCAATCTTTTAATTTAATATCATGTTTGTCTTTCCAGTATCTAGCTATTAATATTCTAGCACTTGTCATAAAACTAGAAATCAATCCTTTTGAGCAATAATCAAGTTCTATCTTATCAAAAATTGACAACAAAGCAATTTTAGAGTTTCAATATATTTTCCAAATATCACATATTTCCATAAAAATCAATTTCCATAATAAATTTGCACTGGATAGGAAGTCTCTGACAACACTAATTCATGCACTGGTAATCTCAAAAACTGATTACTGCAATGCTCTCTATATGAAGCTGCCCTTGAGGATGACATGGAAGCGTCAGCAGATTCAGACTGCAGCACCCCAGTTAGTTTCCAGAGCATCCAAATTTGATCCTATTTTCCCAATCCTGGCTTAACAGCATCGGCTTTCTGTAGGCTTCTGTGCCAAATTCAAGGTGTTGGTCTTGACATACAAAACCCTAAAAGGTTTGGGGCCTCAATACCTGTCAAAAAGTCTCTCCTTAATAACTGTCACCCCTTCCCCCTCGGTCCTCGGTGCTATGGATATTTACACTGAAGAAGGCCAGGATGGTGTTAACTAGGAACCAGGCCTTCTTGGTGGTAGCTCCATCTTCCTCGAACTCACTCTCATCAGAGGTTTGCCAGGCCAGCTCTCCTCTAGGCCTTTCACTATCTAGTTAAAGCAGAACTCTTTAAAGAGACCTTTAAGAATACTCTTCCCTTATATTTTTCTCTTGAACCTCATTTGTATTATCTGCTTTGGGTTTTTTTCATGAGGCTTTATTGTTGCTGCCTTTTATTATTGCTGTTATTTGTATCTGAGTACTTGTATAACTTTATCGTTTGCTAGTTGGGATAGTTTTAACTCTGTTGTAAACCAGCCAGGGTAGTGGCTTTTCTCTGAATGGGTGGTGTAAAAATTGAACAAACAAATACATTGCAGCACTTATATACATAATTTATGATATAGCCTTACCTAGCAAGAGGTTGGAGAGCATGGTTGAGATGCTGAGGGGTGAGAAGACAAAATTAGAGTCTCTACTCTTGTGTCGGGTTGCAGTTTTGTAGAACCGCACTGTAAATTCAGTCAGCGCTTCTGCCAACTTGGTGTTGTCCTCTGGAGTAGAATTAGTGCATGCGGCCCAGGGGTTAATGCGCAGTGGAGGGCACTTCTGGGGTGGGCAAGTGGTAGGCACTGCTGTTGTGGGGGTTGTGACAGGTTCTGCTGTGGTTGGTGCTCTCACAGCCATTTCTGTTGCATTTACACATTTTGGGAGTTCAAAGAAGTACTCATCATCAGTGTTCTGTGTATAAGCAGGAGTGGCAGCCTCTCCTTTTATTTCATTAGATGTATCACTCAGAGGAGTTGCTTCCTGTTTCGGATTTATACTCTCATCATCAACTTCATTCTCCTTATCCGAAGTTCTCTGTCAAGGAAGCAGAAGTTCACATGCTTTAAAGTAATACCACTTTCTTTAAAGACACTTAAAGGTTATTCTATTGACCTGCTGCAGTGGCCAAAGTGCTTTCGATTTCTCTCTGCCTCTTAACTACTATTTCTCAATGCCTATGAGCTTCTTTCTCTATTAAGGACTATCTCCTGAGAGTCAAAAAGTGTTGGGGTGCCTCTACCTGGATGAACCAGACAAAACACATACCTTGGGAAAGCCCTCCTATTGCAGCCATTCCAAGGCTCCAACTACTTGTTGCCTTAGCCATGTGGCTGTTGCTTTCAAAGCAGGGCATTTTTCTGCCTGAGGCGGAGGAGCAATTGGCTGGGGAAAGGGGAGGGATGTTCTTGAAATTATATTCCAGGAACGAACTTTTCCATGCTGTTTCTCCTCAGAGTTATCTGTGAGAATTCTCAGTCATCCAGGTATGGTTATCTGGAAGCTGAGTCATGGCAACTGGATTTCTTTCTTATTAGGTTGAAACATTTCACTACTCATCCAAGTAGCTTCTTCATTCTGAGGAAATTTGGTAGGAGATCCCTGAGATATCCTCCACGTTGGTTTCACTTCCCCCTGGTCTGAATAGGCTCGTTAGAAGGACAAAGGACTGGAGGTGAGGGATAATTGCACTTCTGGAGTCCTTCTTCACCCATTGTCATGGGTAGTTAAGAGTAGTCTTTCTGGTGTGTGATTCTGGAGTCCTTCTTCACCCATTGTCATGAGTAGTCTTTCTGGTGTGTGTGGTTCTAATCTTTCCTGGGACTTATTTATTATGCTGCCCTTTCATCTGTCTGTCTGGCTCTACTCAAAAGATACACAGTGGGGGATTGAACCCCAAACCTCTGCCTCTGCAGCAAGATACCTAAACCGCTGGGCTGTCCAGTTAGCTACTCTTTGTTAAAACCAATAAATTAATGCCTTGTTCAAACTTGTTCAATGCATGACTGTGGGATTCAGGATCTTGTATTCTGAAAAAAGTAACACTTCCAAGCCCTACACTCAGTTCTTTCCTGTCTTCTTTCACTTGTACCCAGCCACTATCCTTCATCAGTTTTGTCCGTGTGTTCCCTCTGTCAGCTCTGTAGCTGAGGGAAACAACAGGATGGAGTAAATAATATCAATAACTGAAGTGAGTCTGGTGATGGAGCTTGGCCGAGGACCAGTCTACAGAACTGCACAAAGATGTCTGCAGTTCCATATTTGACCTACATATTGGAGATTCCAGTTCCTGAAATTTGACTTAAAGGAAGCCCATTTCTCAGCCTAATATGGATTGTCAGTTTTCTTGGGAATGTGAAGATAAGTATTGATTAATATTGTTGGGTATTATCAATAAACGTTTCTCTTACAATCTCAGTTCTGGTGCTGGACTGTGCTTATGCAGACAGTCCATAAACCAAATTGTATTTTCTACCAGTAATCTATTGCACAAGATTAGAAGTCCCAGTCAAGGAGCACATGAAAGATTCAGCCAGCATATGACGGGGAACACTGTTCATTGTGAGTTCCTGTCAACAATCAGATTTCAGCCTAGCCCAAATCTAATACCTTGAAAAACAGGCACTGTCAAGGACTGAAGTGAGGTATGAGGCACACCTTGGAATTTCCAACCTCATATTAGCTGCACCAGGAGGGCGGTGGGACTTCACATTCACACTGCTGTTAGCCTTTCTCTAAGAAGCCCAGGGAAGCATATTTGCATCTCCTTACAAATTTTATCTTTACAACAGCCCTGTGACTAAGGTAAGTTGCAAGATAATGACTGGAATAAGGACACCAAACATACATTGCATTAAAAAAAACCTTGTTACATTATGTATCACTTTCTATTCCTTTCCAATTCCTGTTTAAAAGGTAAGCAATTGACTTAATTTGGTGGTGGTGAAGATTCTCCCCCAAATACTCCTCAAAAGCATTTTTGTCTCCAAAAGAAAAGAATAATATAATCAGTCCTTTTGATGTTTTCTTTTGATGTTGTTGTGTCCTTGTACAGTAATAAACAAAAATGGTTATTTGTAATTCACACTCTCAAGGCAGCTAGAGGAATCCATATGTGGTAAAACATGTTGCAAAGCAACACCACATTTTAGCATGCAACTGTGTCTGCTACAAAGTGATGAGGGCTGCAAGTAAAGCTTGTTTTGCTGCTTCTGTCACACTTTCAAGCCATCCCCCCCAAAACTTTTTTTTAGTCCAAGAGAAGGACCTCAATAAAGTCCTTTAAACTGCTGTGTTGTCAGTCTCCTGCAAGTTACGCTGTAGGGTATCACAGGGTACAATCCTATCCCTAACACTTTTTAAGATTTATATGAAGCTATTGAGAGTGGTCCCTATGAGATTCAGGCCAGTGTCATCAACAGGTAGTGTTTAGTGTCATCAGAGCATCATGTTTCTCTGTTGTATTGTTTATCTTTTGAACAGGTTCTGAACAGTGCCTATATGCAGTGATGGGATAGGTGAGGACCAGTTTCAGTCTTGGTAAGGTGGGAGCCTGGTGCATGATCATTTCTTGGATCTGGAAGTTGCATATTTTGCCTATTCTAGATGGAGTTGCATGCCCACAGAAGGAGCGGGTTCATAGCTTTGAGGTGCTCCTTGATCCACCCTTGCCAGTGGAAATACTGGTGTCTTCAAAGGTGAAGACTGCTTTCTATCAACTTGAGTGGTGCACTAGTTTCACCCGTTCTTAGACAGTGATAACTCTTTTCTTTCCACCTGTTTTTGCATGTGATTTGTGCCTGAGTGATTAGTTGCCTTGAGGCTGGATCACTACACTGTGCTCTATATGGGGCTGTACTTACTGTCAATTCAGGAGCTGCATAAAATGCAGTGGTTAGGATGCTTAGTGAAAAGCTATTCCATGCACATATTGCATCATATGGAGCTGGGTAGGCTCCATATGAACCTACACGGCAGTTAAGATCTAGCCAGGGGGCCCTTTTGAAAGAGCCGTCCCTCAAGAAGGTAAGAGGGATGGTTTGTAGACAAAGGGCCTTCTCAGCTGCTGCCCCCAGACTATGGAATGCCCTCCTGACTGAGATTCATCTGGCGCAGACGCTGATGACATTTCGGCACCAGGTCAAAACCTTCCTGTTCCAGAAGGCTTTTAATTGAAATAATATCAACTGTGGGTCCTGATGGCAAGTTTTAGAGTATCTATTTTAACTGCATTTTGATTGTTTTATCCTTTTATTGTATTTTTATTGTATTTTAATTGTTGTAAGCTGCCCAGAGTGGGCAACATATAAAATAAATAAATAAATAAAATCATGCAGGAGGAATTGCACTAGCTTTCTAATTGGTCCAAAGCAGAATTTAACTTAATTATAAAGCTTTGGAGCAATGTACACTGTATCTAAGAATGCATCATTCTCTGAGATTACCAGAGATTCTTCTAGTAGTGCCATTTGTAAGCAGAGATATATCTTACAGCAAGTTGAAGGGAAGCCTTCCTCACAGTGGCCCTCATATTGTGAAATCGACCTTTCCTTAGACATGTCGTGGACAATAAAGAACTGTGTTATTATTCTCTTGGTCTTCTCTTGTAAACTGTGATCTTATCTTCTACTGTTAAAAGATCTCTTGTGAATGGTCTATAGATCATTTAAATATTACCACCACCTCAAATACATATATTTGTGAGGGGCAGCTGTGTTAGTTTGTTGAAGCAAAAACAACCATAGTGTCACGCCTGAAAAGCTTAACACCTTATTACCAGTTTCAGCTTTTGTGGGCACAATAAACTTCCCCAGTATCCCCAAACATTTCTGCTATAACAAACTGGTTAGTCTTTAAGGTGCCACAAAACTAGTACATGAATAAGAACACACACATACACTCAGTCATGTTTGAATCAAGTAAATGAAATACTAAAAATACTTCCTATAGTCTACAGAGTTATTATAACGAGGTGCAGAAAAGCACCGTGAATAAAGTTCAGGAATTAAGGCACAGAGTAAATGATTCCTATCTCACATTCTCAGGCTTTGGTTGCCATAAAACTAACTGAAGATGGCACAGTATTCAGGGTTTAGCCTCAGGTATCAGGGCAGGAAATTGAAATCTGCCCCCAGTCACATTTAATTGCATTGCTAGACTCGGAATTCAGGCATTCTGTAAAATGATAACCTAAAGAGCTGTAGAAACCATGTCCCGAATTTCAACCACTTGCTGAAAAGATGCATATGAACACTGTGTGTGTGACAGAAATTTAGGACATTGTTTCTGCAATTTTGCAAGTGATCATAATATAGAATGCCTGAATTGCAGGTCTGGAAATGCAGTTACATGTGAATGGGAGTGGACCTACTGACCGACTGACCGGCCGGCCGGCCTGTCTGTCTGTCTGCCTGTCTGTCTACAGAGAGTCAGACAGACAGACCATGAAAAAGAGCAGAAGGATCAGATTTTTGTTGTCAGCAGCTTGCCCCCATTCATAGGAGATGCCGGAATTCCAGGGAGTTTGGGAACTATAAAACTGTACATTCAATTTTTCTACTAACCCTAAGCCTGAACACAAGACTGGCCCAACTGCTAACACTCAATACATTGGAATTCTCATAGGGGAAGAAAATACATATTCACTGCAAGTTATTTTTTAAATCATGGCCCACAAGAACTAAATTTGATAATTACTAAAATATTTTTATGTTAAACACCCCCCTGCCATAATTTTTGGTCCCAGAAAAAGGGCAAAGGAGTGAATTTCCATTCTAATTTGGATTTTCAAACCATAGAGAAGTGCAGTTTGGGCTTGTGAAGCTTCCAGGTGTCTGGATCTGAGTGAGATCTTTCCATTCTCCTAGTGCCTTCAAAAGGAAGAGGAGTTCCAGCCACTCTTGTTTGGTCATCTTCCTCGCCCTTGATTTAAAATGTTATGGAAAAATAAATCCCAGTTAGCAAGTTTCATGACAATGCAGGGATTGGAACTTAGGTCTCCTGGGTCCCAGTCTGATATTATGACCACTACACCAAACTGCTTTTATTGTAGACAAGCACTAGAAGGAATACATTTGTGCAAATTTCCTAAAATAAATATATAATGAATTGTAACTGAACACATAGCCATTTATAAACTGGTAATTAGTTACCTCTAGACTGGGCCACTGGAATGTGCTCTGTGCGGGCTCTCCTCAGAAGCTGTGTCTAATGTAAAACACAGTGGCTACAATATCCCGCTGTTTAAATTCTACATTAGCATTGAAGGAAATACACCTATCTGCCTATTCATTACACATTTGAGTAGAAGGTTTTGTTGTTTAACACCCTGATTACCTTGGGGCCAGATTGTCTGAGTGGGTGTTTCCTTCTTTACAGACCATCCCAGTTGTTGGGAGAGGAGTCTTCTATTTGTGCAGGTCCTGGTGGAGATACATCATTTATGGCAGGGGTCCCCAACCTTTTTCACCCCGCGGACCAACTGGAGAAGGCGGGGCACCCCCATGCTGTGTGCATGAGTGAACAAGCGCACACACTCTCTTGCACAAACAAGCACACGCTCATGTGAGTAGAAGGTTTTGTTGTTTAACACCCTGATTACCTTGGGGCCAGATTGTCTGAGTGGGTGTTTCCTTCTTTATAGACTATCCCAGTCATTAGGGTTGTTGGGAGAGGAGTCTTCTATTTGTGCAGGTCCTGGTGGAGATACATCATTTATGGCAGGGGTCCCCAACCTTTTCACCCCGTGGACCAGCTGGAGAAGGCGGGGCACCCCCGTGCTATGTGCATGTGTGAACAAGCGCACACTCTCTCTCGCACAAACAAGCACACGCTCGTACGCATGCGCAAACAGCAGTGTGGTGCTTATCTGGGTGCGCTTGCACTCGGGTGCATGCGCAAATGGCGGTGCGGTGCTCGCACGGGCATGCTGGAATGCATGTGCATGCGCGAGTCAGCTGTGCGGGGGTGAGTGCGTGCAGGAGCAGGGCAGGAGGTCTGTCTCTATGGCCTGGTCCGGCTCAGGCCACAGACCAACACCAGGCTGCGAACCGGGGATTAGGGACCTCTGATTTATGGTACCTTGAAGGTGGGTCTTCTTTATGGTGGCCCCCTATTGGGGAACAACCATCAGTGATATATGAGGGCACCTAAAGTGCCAGGTTAGTAAAAAGGCATTTGTTCATGCAGGCATCTCCTGGATTGTTAATACTGGCTTTATTTTACTGTACTTTAGATATCTGGCATGTTCTATTGTTTTCATTGTATTGGCTTTATGGTACCTTGAAGGTGGGTCTTCTTTATGGTGGCCCCCTATTGGGGAACAACCATCAGTGATATATGAGGGCACCTAAAGTGCCAGGTTAGTAAAAAGGCATTTGTTCATGCAGGCATCTCCTGGATTGTTAATACTGGCTTTATTTTACTGTACTTTAGATATCTGGCATGTTCTATTGTTTTCATTGTATTGGCTTTATCTTGCAAACAACTTTTTAAAATCTTTTCTATGGATAGGTTGTCAACATTATCAATGTCAGCATCAAAACCTAAAACAAACAGATACAGTGGACCCTTGACTTACAGACGGCTTGACTTACAGACTTTTTGAGTTACAGACTTCTCTGGCCGCAAAATTTAGGTTTGACTTGCAGCCTGAGAATTGACTTGGCATCTCCTGGATTGTTAATACCGGCTTTATTTTACTGTACTTTAGATACCTGGCATGTTCTATTGTTTTCATTGTATTGGTTTTATCTTGCAAACAACTTTTAAAAATCTTTTCTATGGATAAGTTGTCAACATTATCAATGTCAGCATCAAAACCTCAAACAGACACTCCATACAGTTCATAACTGAGCAACACAGCAAAACTTAACAGACAGACATTTCTAAAACTCTAAATCAGATGAATTGCTCCTGGTTGGCATTCTCAGACTACTCTGGCCAAAAGATGGCCAAGCAAGGCAAACATGAAAAAAATATTAAATGTGGTTTTTTTGGATCCAAAGCAAAGGCAAATTAATGACCTGTTTTCATTGAGTTCTTCATCGTACCTTAACGAAGTCCAGGAATTCCCCCCAAGCTCTCTTAAAGAAATTCCAAATTCCTGCTTCGTCCTTGGTGTTGGCATTTGTTCTCCCAGGATCTTGAGGGAGAGATGGAGTCCCAGCTACTCTTAGTTTGCCATCTGCCACCTCCTTGATGCAAAAAGGCACAGAAAAACAAATCCCCATTAGTAAATCTACGCATTTTTATTTTTCACAGCCAACACATATACTGAATTTAAGTTATGTGTTGGTTCTCTAAAGGAAATAGTTAATTGAAAAGACGTGTTTGTAGCCTAGTGGCAGAATAATGTAATGGCTTTTGGTATCCAAAATTACTATCATCCTCAAAAGCACCCTTTGTTTTGCCACTCATCATCACCAACTTGATGCAAGAAACTGTGAAGAATCAAATTCTCAACAGATATGCTTCTTATTATATGGAAATTGTGTCAAATTGTTACGGAAAGCTCTTCATTAGAAACAGGGACTCCTTAAATGCTGTCAGACATCTGACTGTCACAGACATTTTCCCATAGCTTGCAGATTAGATTTTGTTTTTTGGGGGTTTTCAGGTGGGGGGGTTGGTGGTTGGTCACCACAACTTCAATTACAGATATGATTGCAGGGATAACGATCTCACCAGAGTCATGTCTCTGGAACATTAATGTGATTTCAGCTTGAACAATGTACTATCTAACATATAGTTTGACTCAAAACTAAAATTGTGTTTCAAGTTGCAGGAGCTTGGAGTTCGCATATCATCATTGTTATTGTTGGCCTTAATGAGTTGTCTGGGAGTTCTTATATTTCCTGTTCTTCATTTTCACCATTACAAAGGGGAAGAAGTGTTCCAGGCTCTTTCATGTCTTTGATGCAAGAGTTGTAGCAAAACAAACCTTCACCAGGTAATGCTATAAAAAGCGCCGTGTTACCTTAAATACTAACATGGATTACTGCATGAGCTTTCATGGACTATAGTTTATTGTACCCAATACATCTGATACAGGTGGTTTCAGCTCTATGAAACCTGTTGGTTTTTAACTGAACTAACAGGAATCTGTTGGTTTGCTCCAGTTAGACTAACATGGTTGCCTTCTGGAAACTGTTAAGTAAACCACAGATCACCTGCTGCCTGAAATGGATCAATGTAATTTCCTATTTAAACAGAAATGTTTTTCTAGCTCCCAAACCAATACATAATTCAGCAGGTGATGACGGTTAACAAGTAACAATGCGTTATGGATCAGTTAGTAAAGTGAAGTCCTCCATGTATCCATTCTAATCTGTATTATCAGCCAAATTTTTCTGAAGAAGCCCAGTTCTTTTATCATCTGCCAGCCCCTTGTTGCAAGGGAATATGGGAACAGAAGTACAAACAGTCAGGTAAATGATATTTTGCTGGCCCAAGGTATTTTGTGGTCTGAAGGAAAAAAAAGATGGTGTTCTCCTTCCCTAATCCCTATTTGGAAACTGAGTAGCTGATATCTGAACATATATTCAGTGTTGGCAGTGGATCACATCGGAGGCAGAAGGCTAATCAAAGAAATTAGAGTTCAAGGCAGAAGAAGAGTCTAACCCCCAAGCACCAAACCATTATTTTGAAGCCCATATTTTTCATTGCAACTAGAGGATCTATTTTGTAGATAACAGACAATTAATTTTTCACCCAAATCAATCTCTTGCCAATTAATTAACCTCCTATTAATTACCCACTCAAACTATTCCAAATTAATTGTTCATGTAATTTGCACCAGTTTCCTACTAGATTCTATTCTAACTCCATTATCCTTCAATTATCACCATTCAATAAACCCCAGCTAACATGGCCAATGTTAAAGGCTTATAGGGGTTGTGTTCTAGAAGGTGAAGGCAAAAGTTTTTCCTCAGTCTGTTTCCAGGCAGTGAATGTTGGTCAAGATGGTGGTTTCTCTCCTGCCTGTAGTCCAAATGTGGTTTGATCTGAGAGGGGGGAGGTAGTATGAAGCACACAGGGCTTGCACAAGGAATCAGATGAGTTTCATGGCCATTCCCTGATCAGCTGCCTGATACTGCCATGTTTTAGACCTCAGAGCTCTTTTCAAGGCGGTAGTAGCATGAGAAACAAACATAGGGCAGTGCCT